TCTTCTGCCCAGTTCTTTTGGGTCTGATGATCAACTCCTATCAACTTTGCTGAGCCCCGCGTCGGATTCGCATGATCATTGGCGTCGGATTCGCTCCAAAAGGGTTTAAAGGGAGAAGCGAACAGAAGTTGGTCCTGATGTGTCATGGGGGTCCAAGCCCGTCAACACTACCTCATTCTACTGATATGGCATGATACGGCCCTACTTGTAGTAGGAAGGCACTTGTTACAGTCTTGGCAAGCGTTTCGGTGGTTCTTGGATCGACGTTTCGGTGCGCTGGTTCGGTGCCGCGGTGCCGCGATAACCCCCCCACACTCCCGGCGTCGTTTATGCGGGTCTCCTGAGGATGCTCTCCACCGGTCTGCCCCACCTGAGCAGGTGTGGAGGGTTGGGTGGTGCTTGTAGGGCGGCCTGTATGGGCACTTGACTGCTTCGGAAGACCAGGTCCTAACGACATGTTGATCGTTGGTGGGAGAGAAAGAAAACATAAGAACACGATGGATTATGATGGATTTTACAAGAATATTACAACATAGGACAACATGAGAGTTGTCTTTCTTACCTTCATTCTGGGAGTAGAGTCGATGTTTCTTGGGAGTTGGACGGCTTCGAACGACGGAAGATCGCCCATGCGGGGGACCCTTTCATGGCAGACACGCATCGCACAAGGGCGGGGCAACCACCGGAGAGCCACCTGAAAAGCTCGGAGGTTCTTCCGAAATCTCCGGATTTGGGGCTCCTCAAGAAGCTTATACTTTTATCATGTATCATAATTTGTTAAGCTTCCCCCCCAAAGTCTAGAAACCAAATCATGAGTGTGAGCGCTTCTTCAAGGAAGCTCCCCCCGGCCGCCGGGGGAGCTTCTTTGAAGAAGCGTGAGCTATCCTCCGTCCATACTAGTAGCTTACATGTAGGTACTAGCTACCTAAGGACCTAGCTACTACGAGCTACCTACCTAGTTACTTCCTACCTCTACTAGTGGCCTACCCCGCACCGGGCAAAAAACCACTATATTTATCTATATATATTACATAGATATTTCGTATTAGGAGAGAGCGATAGCGGGCTTTAAACAAAAATAACTATCCGTGCCTTGTCGTTTTTCCTTGGTGTCTTTTTCACCATCGATTCATCCGACGGCGGGCTCCGACGGCTTCTTCGCTTTGGGTTCTCGCCAGGCAGCTGGACCGCGCCCGGGCCTTCGGCTTCGGCGCGAGGTGCAGCATGGCATGGCCCCACAGGAGGCGTCTCCGAAAGGGTAGAGATCGGTGGGGAAGGGGGGAGATTCCGGTTCTTGGTGCCTTTTTGGTGCCTTTTCGGGCTTTTGGTATACTTTCTTCATCTTGCTTCTCTTGGGAGAAGAGAACCTGCAAGAGGAAGGTGGTTTCATGGCCAGATACTTGGTCCACCATTCCACTATCACTTACGAACCCCAACAGTCGAGGAGTGGAGGCGGCAAAGGGGAACAATCCATGCTTCCCGTTTTTGCAAGAATCACCGGAAATCACTCCAAGGCTTCAAAGAAATCTTTGCAGTCGTCCCGTGACGCACTTCCGTGACCCTGTCCTTCTGGAACTGTGATGACCAAGAGGGTGCTGGTAATGCTCCAGGTTGCTCCAACTTCGTTCGAAGCCGAAGCCTTCCTTCCATCGAAAGGAAAAAAGAAGCTATTAGGAACCAGGTGCCTTACTAGTAGTAACAAGTGCCTTACTAGTAGTAACAAGAAGCTACTAGTAACAAGTGCATGTTGTGTGACAGGACCCGAGCTCTGCTGCGGAAGAACGGAGCCTCGGTGCAGGCGGGGCCAACAAGTCACGTCAGGCCTTTGGTCGTTGGAACTGGAAGCCTATCTGTGAACTGCCCGTCTTTAGAGCCAAAGTAGATCTGAAGCTAGAGCCTGCAGACGTGTGCAGTTGAAGTGTTTTTTGAATGCTTTCTCCCCGAAGAGCGGTTTCTCCTCAATGCCAAGCATGCCCCCTTTTTTGACGAATGCTTAGCCGAATGAAATCAGGCTTCGGCTTTCGCGAAGTGGGGGTCTCGACTGCCCTCTCCTCTCAACTGCCTGCTGCGTAGGACATGAGGGACACGTGGTGATTCCAGTCGCGCCGCCCCAAGGATTGCCACAGGACACAGGGGGTGCGTGGTGGACCCTGCCGATGACCTTGGGATGGACATGGCCTGCAGGTGACCACTATTACATTGTATTGTAGATAGATTCGTTTTTTGGGTGATATTGTACTATGCTTGGTCTCACGTCCGTCTTGAAATTCCTGCGGTTCAAACACCGGCGAACCCGGAATTTAGGGGGAGACAGGGCTTGCGATGTTGATCAAACTTATTTGGATTCAGGATACTCCGAGGTAAATATGCGGGGCTCGGAATCTGCTATTGTACCATCTATATACAGTTATATACTACGCATCGTTACAATTTGCAAATAAAGCAAACATTTATCCAGATTTATCCAGTACAATATGACCTCTGATCTTTCAAGATTTTCAGACCTTGCTCAGCAAAGAGAACACCTTTCGTTTGCTAAGGGCATTTCTATACGTTTGTCTCCCAGTGTGAGCTTTTGTGTGCCCACCTTAGTGTGTCCGCTACTCCTTCTGGCAACTCCTTAAGAGGGCAATCCTCAATTCTTTCGCATACTGCGTCCGCCTTCTGGCAAAAGCAATGTCTTCCAGTCTGGTCATTTTTTGAGATGTGTTCCTTCCACGGCGGTCAACTGTTTGGGGTCCACGTTGGTGTAGGTTGTTGTTTTGGGGAACGTTCCTTCTTCCAGCTTCTCTGAACAAATCCAAGTTGATAAGACTATAAAGAGTTATAGTACTATATGATACTTTACTATTGTGTATATAATACTTATACGTTGTTATCCTATATTGTAACACCTTGGCAGGAAAATGGTGAATTTTTCTTGCGCTGAACTTGTGCCCCAAGAGGACTGAATAGCAACCAGCAGACCAACAGACCGTACTTCCTCCAACAGACCAGCCAGACATTGGATTCGGGTTGGGAACCTCTGCGTCCACCAGTCTGCCACTCCCACCCCCACTCCCAGGCGCCCGACGACTTTGCTGACCGTCGACATGTGGCGCACGTCGACCACAGCGCTGTCGTGCCTGAGGACGCTAGACCGAACACGGGGGAATTCCTCGATGGTTCGGAACCCGTGTCGGTCCTGACTGTCTCGGAACCCGCAGGCCCAACTCTGAACCTTCGAACTGCGAGCTGCGAGCAGTGTTTCTTTTTGCGTGGGAATTGTTCCACGATGCTCTACAACCGTTCTACAACTCTTCAAACCTCCATATTGAAATGCAGCCGAGTCCATCTCCGGGTTGCACGGAGTCCCGTTCCGATGTTTTGGGATGGTATGTTCGAAGGAAAAAGGGGGTTGACTTGAAGCACTTCTTCATCGTGATTCTGTTATTGTTACATGCATTTTGTGTTTTGTTTCTTTTTTTGTTTTTATTCGATCCTTTGTCATTCCCCCACAGCAGCTCGGCTCCCAGGAAGATGAAACCGATGGTGCTGCTTCAGCGTCGCGTCGCCCCGCCCGGTGCGGGTGCCGAGTCTGGCAGAGCCTTTTCGTTCTTTTGGATGTTTTTTCTTTTACTGTAGTTATTTTGCTTTTAGATTTTCTTTTCTTTAGACCATTTTTTTTTTCCAGAGTTACTTTTCTTTCAACTTTGTTTTAGACGATGTTTTTCCTTATATGATTTTTTGTTTAATGGTTTAACGACATTTGTTTGTTGTTCTGTTTTTTTAAAAGATACATTTCTTTAGACATTCTTTTTTGAAGGACTTTTCTCTCGACAATATTTTTGGACTCTTTACGGCAATTTTAGCTTGGCACAATTAATTTGATTTGACCACATTTTAGACAATTTTTCGTTTAGACCATTCTTGATCATTTGGATCTTTTTCTGGGCACCTTTTTCTCTTTCGACCCGTTTTGTTTCGAGCTCGAACCGTTCGAACCGTTCACTGTGTGGGACTGAAGACATCCCTCACACGGGGGCCTTGCGCAGGCTGGAAGCCAAAGGCTGAGCCGGGGGAGGGATCCGAGGGAGGGCGGCCGTCGATCTTGCGGAAGTGCTTCGGGATGGTCACGCAATCCTATGAGGGTCTGGAGGGTTTAGAATGCACGCTGCGGCTTCAGACAATGCTTTCTTCTTCCTTGTGGGGTGGTCTGCTGAGACTTCTCGACCCAAAACTTTGGCAGGTGCAACTCCAGACTATTTTGAGTGCCTACCTGCCTGCCCCTGAGATTTTTGCAGTGGCCGAAACGACACTACTGGAGAAGCGTGATCACAAGAGCATTGTCGCACCTGACAGAGGACCTCTGAGGCTTTTGGTTATTTTAGTCATGTAGACAGACAGACATGGAATGACATGGTAATGACACCCCTCCAAGTAGCTGATCTTAATAAGGTCGATGCCAGCCATGTCAAATGACCAGAGTGTTTTCGATCTCTCTATATAAGTATGATGACACTGGCAAGTCCTCTCTTTATTTTTCTCGCGCTCTCTCTCTCTCTATCTCTCTCTCTGTCTCTCTCTCTCTCTCTCTTTTTCCCACACTGCGAATTTCATGCTCTTGCGGTCCGCAGTCTTGTTGCCCATGATTTTCATCTAAGTTCATTTTGGCTCCTCCTGTGGTCGGTCGCTTTTGGGCCGCGCGGCACGCGCAACCGGACCAGCGCGCACCCAGGTGTGGTGTGGCCGTGGGCAGGTCAGCACGGCCTCTCGTCCTGGCGAACTAGTTGGGTGGGTCTTAGTTGCTTCACTTCGACATCAGGTGGAGGTGTCCACAGAGAACACCTGAAAGAGACTTGACTGAACGAACCCCATGGCGACTGCATTGGTTAGTAGTTGTTGGTAGAACCTGATAGAACATGGCCTACCCTCGTGGGGAAGCAATCCAGTCAGACGTTCTTTTTTGTCTTCCGCCCTAAAGAAAAGTCCAGACTTGGGATTGGTTCGCTAGGAGTGTTCCGGGGGTAGACCGGTTTGAGATACTTGGGCCCTGGGGCCCACACCTGAAAGCCCACACTTTTGAGACTTGAGACGCAGAAACCATTGCTGGTGGCTTCGGGCGTGTTCCCAGACGCCCTGTTCGGACCACCAAACGACCACATGTTTGTCATATATATATATATACACACATAGTATCACATACTATTGTGTAGGCAGTATACAGAGTTGAAGCCACTGATCAGCAGGTCCAGTGGTTGGGGTCTGCCAACTCCTCGACGATTGGACTGGCTCACATTCGGCATTCAGCCCCTCAAATTTGTGCGAGCAGCCAGTTCGTCACCTGGCCATGGCACAAACATCGGCAACTCAACAGAAGAAGGCACCTACATCGCCCCTCAGCAAGACGGACGCTTGTCCAAATTGCATGATTTCCTTGAACACAGGTTGATTCTGATTTGGTTCCTGATGGGAAGATTCATTGGAAAGCCTTGTCTTATATTTCTGTTTGGATCCTCTACCCAGAATTCATTGGGTACAACCGTTTTCTGGGTCTCCTGAGAACTGACTCCTCTAACAGTTCTCCCGACAACATCTTTTCGAATCCCCCAAGATCCGCTCAGGACCAGGTGTGCCGTCAGCATCATAGGGAGCTGGCCATTGCTCAGAGGGATGTTGGGATTTTCCTGCAGTCCAATGGCTTCGACCCTGCGAACGTCCAGTCCCAGCGTGGACGTTGGCTCGTCACCTATCCCCTGCATGAGGCGGTGAAGCAGAACAATGCCTACATCACCGCAAAGTTCTCTGGATGTGATGGAGAATGAGTGTTCCACTCTGGATGTTCAGCCACGCCCCGATATCACCTGCTGAACTATATTTTTGGGGTTGCTACTTACAAGATCTTATATAACATATAATACATTATAATACATCATCATTCTACAGTCGTATATATTATTCACATATTGGGGACCGTGGTGGCCTGTTTGATGAAAGGACTCTGTCAATTTTGGAACCCCATTGCTAGAATGTGGAAGCAACTTGCTAAATACTACTGTACATTCAGTAGTATATATATATATATACACCTCGCTCATCCTCGCTCTCTCTCTCTCTCTCTCCGTTCTCTTCGCCTTGCGTCGGCGCCACTCGTGTTGTTCGGTCTAGGCTTCTGATGTTCGGTGCCGTCTTGGAGGCCCGAGACACCTGGGGCTACACGGCGAAGCAATACGCAAAGGGGCGGACGTCGCATCAGCAGGTTGAAGAGGTTTTGGACCACCATGCCAAGTACTGCATGCTGCCGGGAAGGTCGAGCTCTTCCGTGCCTGGGACGGATTGGCTGGCTACGGAAGATGAGATGCGGTACATCCCCAAGATCCCCAAGATTCCCAATCCCAAGGAGGGTCGAATCATGTCGAATCCTTTAATTGTCTTCTTGACATGTCCCAGTGCATGGCTCGCAGTCATTCTGGTGAGGCTCCGTGAGCCGAAGAAATGACCCGAGAGGTCGTGGGTTCCGACGCCCCGTGTTCCAACGGGGGGTCTGAGTTGACTTCTGTACCCCAAAGTCGAATGGAAGAAACAATGGCCGGATATGCATTCACGCAGTCAAAGCATGCTGTTTTGTTCAGTGCTTTGCATGGGGGCACTGGAAGGAGCTGAATTGAGACTTCCTTAGGTTCCAGTTTCCTTTTGACCAGCTTCTTTTGGCACTGCAAACCATGGCAGGCTGTTCATTTTCTCCCTTTTGGGTGTGTCTTTTCCCTTTTGCAGATTGTCCCCTTTTCCCGCAGTGTGCCATTTGGACCATAGCCCATGCATGGCCAATGCCTTTGAGTCTTGCAAGGTGAAGGCCGAGGGGCCTAGGTGGCACAAGTCCCAAGCGTGCGCACCACCTCGTGGCTTCGAGCAGTTCTTCGCCGATTTGGAGCTCCGCGATCCTCTCGTGCAGGTCCCGAGCCAAGAAGGTGCCTGGTTGCTGATCCGTGGGCCCAAGAACTTGAGGCATGCCGTGCCTTGGTGCAGATGCAACAGCCAGATGCGCAAGCAGTGCAGGCGTTCTAGCTTTATTGCGGTTGAACAAGACGGGAACACTTTATAGATGGGACACACACACACACATATATATATATATATATTTATACACATACATATACTATATACTTATAGTGCAGGAATCTGTTTTCGACTCCAGTAGCCAATCCGAGGCAAGATCAACCAGTACTGGTGGCTTTGCACGAAAGGGCCTCATCCACTTGTAGCTTGTGCGAATGCGCACATGTCCTGAATGGATTGCCGCCCTGGGGCAGAGTGCGGCCCCACCACCATTCGCCGTTTAAGACAGAGACAGGTGAATGGTGCTGTGGGCTTACAGAGATTTCTGGGTAGGTCTTAGGCAAACTCTTTTACTATTGAGGGTTGCTAAGGCTGCGAGAGTTCAATTTCTTGCATAGTCTTCCGCCCGTGTTTGGGGACACTCAAGTCCCTCGCAGAGCGTTTCAGGCTCAGCAACCTGTGCGGAAGCTCCACGACGAATTAGGGCTCGTTGTTTGTCTTGAGAACAGCTACAGAACCATCCAATCGCAGTTCTGGTTTTAGGATACATCTTTCCTGAATGCTGCGGAAGTACGGCAAGTGGCCCTTTTGGTCCGTGGACATTTGGTGTCTGAAAGTCGAGAAGGGAGACAAATTGAATCTTCCTTTTTCGAGGAAGTGATGCACTCGATGGACAGGTGCAGTGTACAGTGTAATCTATGTTTTGGTTTGCTCCTCATTTCGTAGTACACCGAGTACACTCTGCACCCTGGAGCCTTCAGAGTGTTGCTTTCACTTCCCCTCTTCGCTGACCGATCGATCGAAGACCCACGAAGCACCGGACTGCAGGGGTCAACTGCAGCCAGGGCAGAAATAAAGGGTGTTTGATCACAGGTGTGTTCGACTGTGTCCGAAAAGGATCAAAAAGGGATCCGCCCCATGACCGGAAAATTGTATATATGTATATAGACGGATATATAGGGAGCAGATAGCAGGAAGACCATTATGGTTGTTTGTGCTCCTGAAATGATGTTCGACACACCCACGTGCTTGGTCGCTTTGGGGTGCAAAGCAACCCCAACAGCTGCAGCTAAAAGAAGCCCCTGAGAGGGGGCAGACTGCTGCGACAGCTCCGAAAGCTCAGGACCAATGACTGGTGCAACGTGATGTGATGATTTGTGATGTGTGTTTTATGATATTCTCAAGCATGGAGATCACACAATTATATGGCTATTCTGTTTATACAGATGTGTTGTTCTCATAATAACTATATACTCCAAGAGTTTCAAAGGGGTGCTTAATGGAGATTAGGGGTGCCCAGAACATCCACTCACTGGATGGGACATCCACACTACCCCCGTCTTGTGACCCCTGCAAACGTCAGACTGGAGGAGCCGGATTCCGGAAAGCTTTTTTCACTGGTCCAACCGACGTGGACTTTTTCGGAGCGAGGGCGCGAAGGCTGTCTTGGTGCACAGGACCAAACCTACCGAAGAGCCACAGGAGATTAAATCATTTCATCCAGGTTTTATATCTCGTTAATATGTCTTCCCTTCTTTGCGGGGTTAAGAGGCGCCTCATTTGGACCACACAAGTCAGTGTAGCTCGTGTGTGTTGCGGTCTCATCCTTTCTTCAGTGATTCTCAGGAGGGCTGGTAGATGCAACCCCCAAGACGGAGCATGCTGGAGATGAACAAACATGTAGAATGTAGAATAGTCTATTTCCAGAATAGTTGTTTCACTTTGTGTAATTACGCCAGACAGACTTCTGAGCTGCCAGACCAACTTGTTGGTCTTCAGCGTGCGCTGCACTGCTGCACGAAGAGTCGGCGCTGCTCTGCGCTGCCTAGAATCGGACAGCGGATCTTCCGATGTCCAATGAAGTCCGATGCTTGAGGCTGCCAAGCAACCTCAAACAGGTTTAGAAGTTCCAGTTCTTTTCATGGCCCTGAGTTGCTTGGGTTGACGACCGGCTGGTGGGTTGGCTATTTTAAAAGCTATCGATTGAAGCACGAGCAATGCTTTCTTCTTGGCTTTGCCATGATTGGCCATCGGTCGAGACGCCTGGAATTCCAAATTCCCCCGGAATGAACTTCCGTGTCGTATGGCGAGAGACACCAGCTCTCTTCCAACGGGCGGACTCACGGACGGACTGAATCCTTTTTGCTGCAGATGAAGGAACTCCTTGGCTGGCACTGGGTGACTTACAGCTGTTTTCCTTGTGAACAGCCAAGACCTATAAAACAAGCTGCTGTTTTCCCATGTGCTGCTTCTCGTCGGAGATGATGGACACTTGACTCGGCACTCCTATCACAGCTGAGCATCGGCCAATGTTCACATTGGGGGACCCGGGAATTCCCGTTGTTCGTGTCACCTCTGAGCACCTTGGTTTTCTTCGGTTTCAGGTCTCTTTTGGTTTCTTGGTTTTCCTCTTAAAGGTCTCAGCCGCAAGCGGGTAGACCGACCGCAGAATCTGCCCGAGGCCAACCTGAGCTTCGTTGAGCGCTATCGTGCGGCACGTCGCCGAGCTGGAGGACAGATGTGTTTCATGTCAAGAGTGAACATTAGTAACAAGATGCATCGCTACTAGGAGCCAAGGGCAATCGCTACTAGGGGCTCCTGGCCTTACTACTAGGAGCAAGAAGCTACTAGTAGCAAGGGCATCGCTACTAGTAGCTCCTGGCATCGCTACTAGGAGCATTCTTACTATTCTTACTATTAGCATCTATTAGCAACAAGAAGCTAGTGTAGCTTCGATGAGTGGGAACTGGGAGCGCATATCACTCTGCATCTTCGTACTGGACGATATAAAGTCCTATACTGTACATATATCATATATATATATATTTTTTCATATATATATATCTTGAATTCAATGTTTCCCTTAGACCTTTAGACCTTTGGAATCCTTTGGACAATTTTTAATTCTTCTCTTTCTTTTTCTTTTTTTGGACCATTTTTGATGCATGTTTTTCTTTGGACCTTTAGACCTTTTCCTTCTTTGTTTTTTCCCCTCAGACCTTTAGACATTTTTTGCTTGTTGATCATATTTTTGTTTCTTTCATGTCGGAGACGTTTTGGTTGTGAAAATGCTTCGATAAAAGTCCTATACTGTATATGATATCCATACGATGCGGCAAAGTTGCCCTAAATCTCCCCTGAAGAGACCTGCATGAAAGGCTTTGACGAGGAAGTTTTCTGCAGCCCTCCTCGCAGACTATTTGGGCCCATTGCATTCCGACCACGCCGAGGTCGTCGAAGTCGTCCGTCCACGCCGGAACACGTACGCCCGGAAAGACGCCGTTTGCCAAGACGGGCTGCAGATGAGCTGTATTTTCCAAGAGCAGGTTGACATGTTGACATGGGGATCCATGAGAAGGGATGTGACTTGAGGTTTTCCCCGTAAAGATCATGATAGATGATGGGGAACCTTCATAATCTTTGCCAAGCTTTTTGAGTCCTGGAATCTCTGCCCAGTTGAATGTCTCAAAACTTGTCAGGGGTGTTTGGCAGCTCAACAGAACGGGAGATCCTCCTGGGCTATGGTCCCAACGCGTGTTTGGGTGGGCGTTGCCTTTGGGGTTTTCAACGTTCGCGCCTCGCGCGGCGCGAAGTGTTGCGAGGGGAAGATCCAGAGGATCCGGTCACAAATCTGGTGGAGATGGGCTGATTCACTGAGGGTGGGCCAGTTTTAGGTTTCGGATGTTTCAGTTGCTGTGGGGAATCATATTCAAATGAATCCATGGCAGTCTGGGTGGGGTACCTCAGGGCACCCTGCTGCTGTCCCGTTCAGTGCGGCCGTCGACTTCTGCAGGAGAAATCAGAGAGGTGCGCAGAGAGTGAGCTGAACCCTGGTGGTAAGTCAGGGCTTTCTAAGGTATTCTTTGGTCGAAGGGTCATGATTGGGCTGACCCCGGTTGACCCTCCAAACGATCCGAAGGCCTCAAGAAGGCCTTCTTGGCCAGCCCAGTGAGCTGAAAAAGAATGGTCGACTGGTTGTTGAGATCGTTTTCAAGGGACTGAACAACCAGTTTCATGATGTCTCATCAAGCTCCCGAGCAGTTTTGCGGGGAGGACACATGATGAAACCATCCTCCTCGGACTTGGGTCGGGTGAGCCATTGTGGGCTACTGGAGTTTAAGGCGGAGATTGTAGACCATGGACCATCATGGACCTACATCTGGGATCTGACGTGTTCGGTCAACCAGGTTGTGAATGTCCGCAACTCCTCCATCAGAGCTGCAGCCAACATGTTGAGCTGGCTTCCCACAGGGCGGTCCCTCCATTTCTACCTCACACGAGTGCCAATGTTGAGCCGTGCAGGACAGCAGCTGGGAAAGTTGATTCGTTCAAAATCCTAGAAATCAACGCCCCGAGCACTAGTTGTTGCAGGATTCGACAACATCAGCTCTTCATGGGGCAGTTGTTGCGGAGTTTTCCGTTCTCTTTCAGGTCTCTTTCGCTCTTGGGTTGGAGGCCAGGTTCATCCAGGTTCCTTTTGCTATCAGACTCTCTTTCAGGTCCTCCCCAAGTGGCCGAAGCGCCCGGCAGGTGCTCAGACCCGACGCCGAAGCGCCGAGCCGCGCGCGCGCACGGCCGGGGGGCGCCCAGACCTGGTGGTTTGAGACCGTTTCTGGAGAGACGTCGGTCGTTCGGTAGATTGGAAGTTTCTGAGATCCAACGGTGAGATGAAGATGCACAAAAAACACTCCCAACACTCCCAGACTTCCCAATCGTTTGCGCTCAGGTGTAACTGGGAACAGCTTCACGAGATGCCAGCGCCAGAGAGGAAGGCCAGGGTGGCGGTTCCTGGCCTGTTGTTCTCGCTTTGTTCCACGTGCGCGAGAACGGTCAGCCTTCACACGTGTTTGGTGCCTAAAGGGGCTGTGTCTTTAATTCCTGGCTTTTGCATGAACTTCTTCACAGGTGTAAAGTGAAGGTCAGATGTAGCACTTAGCACATCAGTCCTCTAAGTGCATTGAACCGACTGGTTCTTCAACGGGTCTTCATCGGTTTTGGCGTGCAAGAGTGCCAAGCCGACTGTTGGCGGGTCCTCCAAAAATAAGAACCAACCAAAAGCACATCAAACACTTTAGGTAGACAACAAGATGTAGAAACTAATAACAAAAGATCAACAAAAATCCAAAAGCACATGACTGCCACACCCTCGATGTCGACCGGACGGTCGATTGTTCAGCTGTCTGGGGGGTGTTCAGAGGGCTTTTTGATTTTCATCCCTTGGTGCCTGGAGCCTCACTCAAGCTTCAGCAATCATTTTACGGTTGGTGAGGCAAGATTGCGCCTCTTTGTAAAGGTCTTAAAGATTCAATTATTGAACAAAAAGCATTGGCCAGTTCGACCATTCCGATGAATCATTTCTCCGCGCGCCGCGCGCGTTGATGCATCGAGTGTGGCAGGAAATCACCATGGAACTGCCTCTCGGCAGAGGGATAGTTTCTTTTCTGGTGGCCTTTGGGAGAGGACAAGAAGAAGGTAGCCCGGGCAAGGATCCTAGATTGAAG